AAAAAAAAAATTGGGGGCTCCCTGGTGGCACAGCAGGTTAAAGCACAGCACTAAAAAGCTAAAAACCACTTCAGTAGAGTTCAATTTCTGGCCAAGGAGGTGACCCACAATGGTGGGGCTGATATCTCTTGACCTGCTTCGCTGAGTCCCCTCAGCAGTCGTGCCTGTTCTGCTCCCCACTCTGTCTCTGGTGAATCTTCTCACCGTCCCTGCACCTCTGGCCTGTACCCCAATTCTGCAAGAATAAACCCTTACAAGAAACAAAAAAAAACTGGATTCAGGATTTGTACTGTTAATTGCCTTAGAACCCACACTGGTCCATTTTTAATGAACCAGGTTAGACTTATTTTGCTGAGTTCTCAGCTGCAATAAGAATGTTATGTACTGGAGAGGGCTCTAAAGGAAGCAGATTGGCATCATTCAAAGTCTCAAGCCCAGGCTAATCCAGGAAAGGAGCCCTTCAAATGTCCGAGGAGTTGGCTTGGAAGTTCTAGGCTCAATGGACTACAAATTTTGAAACGGGTTAATCCCAAGATGAAAAATGGTATGGCAGTGGATCCAATGAAAGGAATCAGCATGAATGGTAAGGGAAGGAAACGGGTTCTGCAAAAGCAAGCAAGACACTTTAGAGCGAAAGAATTGGGATAATAGAATGAGCCACCCTCAGGTGGAATTCACACTTGCTCAGGGGGAAATGGACTAAGGGTCCCTTGAGAGACCAACAAAAGCGAAAGGTCACAGGACCAGCATCTTCGTGTTCCCAACCCCCAAATGGGAATTCTCAAAACTACATCATAGTGTGAGGCTTTCAGGGGCCTATCCTTACTGGATCCAGCGAATTACTCGGGGAAAGAAACACTGATGTACCAGGCATCTCCAACTATTAGCTGTAGGTGTGTTCAGACACCATCTCTAGGCCATGCAGCTCTACACATTGCCTTTGCCTGAACTTGTTTCTGTGTTCTGGAACTTATTTCAGAACCATCAAAACCCTCCTTTCTGAAGCAACAGGATGAGCTAGTGCCCTGTTAAACCTGCCTTGCTATTAAACCGTCTCCTAAATTGGCTTCTAAGGTTCTGAAGGGCAGGGGCCAATCTCTAAATCCTTAGCAATTAGAATTGATTTATTATTTAAACATTTACAATAAATTTATCTTCAAATGTAAATAATGATCAGGATCATTCAACACAACACTCTACTCTTACAGTTAAGAAAACAAAAGGTTCATAGTGGTGAGTAGACTTACCCAATGTCACAGGGAGGGAAGGACTTCTGCCTTTGAGTCTATTCAAGGACAACTTGTTACACAGAAAACAGTAAGAATCGATGGAGCGAAGTCCTGTCTAACTTTCTAGCAATGGTTCTATAAGACAAAGAATTTTAAAATAAATTAGTGTTAATGTGAATTCTTTTCCGCACACAAAACCTGGTCATCAAGAAAAGTGTACCACAGTTTATAATTCGGTGAATGGAATGTTTGGCAGCAAAAGGCGAGTTTTGAGAGAGAAGGGGGATAAAGGTACTCTGGTGTCTTTCAATAATTGAGCAGCCCAGCGCTCCTCAGAGTGATGAAGTTCATGGCTGCAGGATGGTTCAGGGAAAATTGATGTGGAATTTAACATAAGCAGATGGATAACGGCGCAAACTCCAGCGTCACACAGTGATAGCTAGATGTCCTTAGTATTTCTACAGACTTTATAAAATGTGTAGATCCCACATCAAGTCTTACAATAAATACAGAACAAAGTCAGGACCTGCCATCTGACACCCATTCTAATGTTGATGTCCTTTCTTTATCCCAAGCAGGATGGTCATTTTCAGGGATGGTATATTTGGATGGTAGATACTTCAACTCACCTGGGACCTGGCCGTTTCCTCATCCCAGTTAAGAGTCCTGGTAAGTTAGAGTTAGGGAAAGAGAAAACAGTCATGAAAATCAGAGCTTCCCTACAGTACAAGACTGCAGGAAGTTTCTCAACCACTCCACTAGCCCCTTGTCACAGTCCTCAAGAGCATGGGTTTCCCCATGCTTCACCTAGCTCATTTCCATGCATAGGACTTTGCAATAAATGTCCCTTTCCCCGCAAACACCCAGGGAAGGTAGATTCCGTGCCCAGCAGCTCTAAGATAAGTATTTCCTCAGGCTTCTGACTTCTACCCTAAAGTGCATAGAGCAGTAGGTGCTCTCCGCTTAGATGTGTCACCTCCCGGGATGGGTTTCGAATGACAGAGCCACCTTCCACAGTCTGACTCGTTGCCGGGGTGCAAAGGCTCCAAACCAACCTTTTTTAGCGACTAAGTGCTATGGGGACTCACAAGGAGTCCGTCTCGGTCGCCTAAAGTTCACTGAAAACCTCTTTGGAATTAAGACCCGTACACTGGCGCAGAAAAGGAGACACGGCTCCCAGGCCTTTAGGACCAGAGCTCAGCCTAGGGAGGAGGCCCATGTGAGGAGCCGCCGCTGCAGCGCCAGGGGCTGTCTCGCCGGCGGGGGCCGCCTCCAGGTCCAGCGACCACAGCGGTGGCCGTGGCGGCGGGACGCACGTGTGTCCCCGGGTCGCATCTCCGCCAGGGCACGCGCCCTTTCCGCCTCCTGGGTCTCAGCGTCCTGGCGCCTTCACTCCGCCACGTCCACACCCCGATGGCGGGATGCCGCTGCAAATGGCGCGGGCAGCCAGACCTATCTCACCGCCCACGTGGAAACCAATACCTGGAAACGCAGGATCCAAGATACAGAACAACAACCGCGGCGAGTGCCGAACTACAAATCCCAGAAAGCCGCGCGCGGCTACCACGCCCATTTCCGGTGTATAGTTCCGGAGTAGGACTGTGGGCGCCGGGGTGGGCGGGGGTGGTAGGTGATGCTACCTAGAACCCAAACACTGTAGACTTGTTTAACATGCCAGTCCATTTTCCTACGTTTGTCGGAAGTTGTTCCCTTGACGTCAGTATTAACTATTCTTGAACACTGTTTAAGACAAAAGTGTATAGTATAGTCTAGAGAACTCAGTTTATAGCCTTTCCACTTTTGGATGCAACGTTTGACTTTCTTCTGCTTTTAGATATTGTTACAGGGCAACTCTTCCATGAAATGGGTTGCCTGACTGGGTCCTCACCCGGGCGCCTAAAGCGGACTTATAAAACTCAACTGCAGGCACAAACTAAAAGGTAAATACAGTATTTACTTATAAAAGGGGAAATTAAGAAATGAATAACTTAGGGAGAAGATAAATTAGTGAATACGTCCTACCGGTTCTGCAGAACTGGAATCCCAACGGCACGGCTGTGAGCTTGCAAAAAGCCAACGACCAAAACAAGAATCTAGAGGCCCAGAGACCCCCCCAAGGCCCACGTGGCAGGCTTTATAGCAAACCTGGCTGCTTAACTCCACCCTCAGGTCCCAGCGACCCTCCCATCTTTGATGATGGGATTTGTAGTTCCTGGTCTCTTAATTACTGTGGCCTGGGTGGGGGTGGATCCATAAAATCAGTTTCTGTCAAGTTCATTCAGGACATCTTTTCCCCCTAACATTATCATTATTTTTTCTTCCTTCATATTTAGAACTGATTCCTTTTATTGGGTTCATTGTCAAATCATTTTCATCTTGGAATTCTCAACTTCCTGCTAAGTTAGTCCATCAATATATCATTTTCATTGTTGGTATGGAATTCTCTCCAGCAATTTAGCTTCAGGATCTTAATTAAGTGATAACTATTCAATCTATTGGTGGAAAGATGACAAAACTTGTAATTTTAAAAACTGGTAAGGCGTTACTGTGGTCTAGGTAGAAATGAGGGACTCCCGTAGCACAGGGGTCAGGGAAATAGAGGCCCATTGAAGGGATAATTAGGAGAATTAAACTCTGAAGTAGCTTGAATACAGCTGAGCTAGGCAAGGAGTCTTAGACAATCCAGAAGGGAGAAAAATTTGATCTAGCATCCTACATATGTTCTATCCATCTTAATGCAAAGATAACTACTGCAATAAAAATTTGAAATGACAGCTGATAGCTTTTTATTGTGCTAATGACATCGTTTACTGTAGTTAGTGGATTAGAAGGGTGGGGCCCTTGGGTCTGAAGGAGGAAAGGATAGAAAATGCAAATGAGGCACCACAGACTGACTCACCGGGAATTGGGGGCGGGGATAGAAGGATTAGCATAGCCATTGACCCAGCTATAGAAAGTAAGGTCCTCAGGTGCCAATGCATAGATTACAAAACACAAGACGAAGCAAGTAGATGCTGTGGGGCAGCACAGAGAACACAAGGACCCTGCAGTCCAAACCCACAAACTCCAAAAACCCACAGCAGGTTCACCAGAGCTCCCCTTTCAGCGGTGTAAGGTCACGCCCGAGTGATCTGGGCAACAAAGGAGAAACAATCCCAAGGCGACTAAAGACGGATATGCATCGTTGACGAAAAACAAAAGAGGGACCTATTTGCCCAGCAGGATGGTGATTTACCAGCCCAGACCTGACTTCCTGTTACGGAAACCCCCCACCACACAATGCTTCCAGCCTGAAATTTTCCATTCCCCAAAGACCTCCTATAACGGTCTAGCCGGTACACTGGGCGCCATTTCTCAGACCCCACGCTTGGGGTTTGTGAATCTTCTCCGGGAGAACAATAAAGCCTTTCTCTCTTTAATTCTGTCTCCTTGCCTCTTTCTATTCGGCAAGCAGAACATGGTGAGATCTCGAGTGAGTTTCTCCAGGACGTTATTTATATTTGTTTTGTCCCAACTTCTGTGACCGGCTGCAAGAAAGGAAGGCAGGAGGCAGAAAGGCTGAGCAAGCAGAGTTTATTGCTGCGGGACAGCAGCTGAGACTGAGCCCCTAGAGTGGGGTCCGCAGCTACTGCCAACTCAATAAGGGGGAAGGGTCTCTTGTATAGATTCTAAACTCAGATTCCCAAGGGGTGACTCATCGCTGTGTCCTTGATGTGAGGCTCAGTTCGCTGTCACCTTCAGCTAGTCCCATCCTGGACGCAAGGTCAGTTTACTACCACTTTATCAAGCTTGGATGCAAGGCTCAATTCTTTACTGGCCTAATTCAGTTGTCAGTAAATCTTTGGTCACTCCCAACAATATTAAAATAAAGATATGGAGGTTGAGCCCATTGTGGAATCTCCTGTCTCTTTCAGACTCTATAGTTATTCAAAATCAGCAACAAACCAAGGACTCATAAAGGTGAGCCCCTCCCTAGGAGAAGATGTCTCATCAGGCAGTCTGCGCTGGCGGGGGCAGCAGTCCTGGGTCCACCTGTCCCTATGTAGGGGCTCCTTTCCACCTGCTCTCACCCTGCACAGGGCAGCAGCCTCCTGCCTGCCCGCGTCGTGCACCACATATAGTGACGTCAGTTATATTTATTTATAAAAAAAATTTATTTATCTATGCATGCAGAACTGGGGATACAGTCCAGAGGTGCAGGAGTGGTGAGAGGATTCACCAGAGACAAGAGTGGGGAGCAGAACAGGCAGATCAATGACGTACACCAATGAGGGGAGCAGCAGGAAAGACAGGAGAGGTCTGCCATGCCATGTGGTCACCTCCAGGGCGGAGGATCGAGCTATAGCATTGAAACAGCTGCACAAGCTTGCAGTGCTGTGTCCTAACCCGTTGCGCCACCAGGGAGGGCCGTGGGTTATATTTAAAGGGCAGGTGTATTGGAGTAGAGAGAAGTAAAAGACACTTGCATAAGCAAAAGTTGCCCCCAAAAGCCTACGGTTTGCTGAGAGAGGCCTGTATGGTTTGCTGAGAGAGGCCTGTATGGTTGCAAGCCGGGCGCCTCTGCTGAGAAAGGTCAGTGAAGAGTGGCCCCGCCCAGGTGTGGCGCAGGTCAGTGGCAAGCTGGAGGGAGAATAGGATGGAAAGGAGCACCTGCATAGGCACAGGGGTGCCCAGGACCGCTGCCCCGTACCAGTGCAGGGACTGCCGGAGGAGACTTGTCGTTTGTTGCAGATTTGGAATAAACCATGTAGCGTTTGAAAGGGACAGGATGCCGCGTCCGGCTGATCGGAGCCGAGTCCGGCGAGGTTCGATGAGGTTCTTCATCCAGGAGTCTCTCGTTTATTGCCAGCGACCCCTTTATATACCATTAGGCAGTAGGAGTGGAAAATTAAGGCGGGAAAGGAGGAAGTAGGGAATTTCTCTTGCCACACCGTCTGTAGCTGCCAGATGCTGACACTCCCTTACAAGGGAGTGTGTTAGGGCAGAGAAAGGTCAGGTCGTCCCTGTGGCGTCTTAGGCAGATAAACACAAGTCTGTGTCATGGCTTTATCGGCGGACCACCTGGCCGCCTTGACACACACAACAGGGGGCACATCCCCCGGAGCCCCGGGGGTAGTGTGCTAACTCGGCACCAACAACAGGAGATTCCACAATGGGCTTAATCTCCATCTTTACCTTTGGGTCTGCGCTCTAGGTGGATCCTACCGCATCTGCTACCTGCTTGGGTCTTGTGCTTTGCAATAGAGGTGTTGTCCCTAAGGATCTTAGTTTCCATAGCTGGGTCAATGGCTGTGCTAATCCCTTCTAACTCCAAAGCCCAGTGAGTCAGTCTTGTGATGCCACCTTCGCATTTTCTATTCTTTCCTCCTTCAGGTGGGCTTTGGAAATAAATAATAAATAATAATCTCAGCTAACAAAAATTAAAAAATATATAAACTGTGGTATACCAAAAAATGATCATTTTAATTATTAAAACTTATTTCCTATATAAAAGTCTTCACAATAAAGTTCTAATAATAATCTCCCCTAGGACATGTAAAATTCAAGTTACACTTCTCTTACAAGATAGTATTTTTGAATACTGTCTTTAGATTTTCATTGTTACCAAAATTCTGTCAACCATTCCAACAGAAATTAACGCTTGTATTATAAAGCTTTAATACAATGCTCCTTTAAACTTTGTTTTCTTATAACCAATGACTTGAAAAATCTTCCCATATATATGGTCTAAGATTATATGTAATATTGACATATATATGT